ATAATTTTATTATATTTACCCCAGTTAACAATTCATCAAGTTCCTTAATGGATTCAGATTCTGCCATGGCTTTAATTAGAAAGCACAAAACACTATATATGAGTAGATCCTCGCAGTCTCCCGGTATTGTTGAAAAGTATCAACACACAGTAGTAATGACAAACGCTTACCATGCGGTTGCGTATTTATATGTGTGTAAAAATGCTGTGAAGTTAGCTATGAAAATATTCAAGTCTGTCGAACATTTTAAAATTTTAAATTTAAACTATAAATACTGCAAATTATAAATAAGAATCGTTATACATTTTTATATTTAATTAAATTAATACTAATTTTCCGTTGAAACATTTTGCAAGTAAACAAAAATTTATAAAAAATGACAGTTCGTAATTAGTGTTGCCATCTGTCAGTGACTACATCGATAACGTAATTTAATACTTTAAAAATATGTTAATTTATTTTATTTCGTTATAATAAAATCAAATATTAAACAGTTTTTTTTTATGAAATTGTAATAGAGTATTTGAAATGTATTATTATTATGTTTGTGTGTTAGTTAATAATGTTTGGTTTTATCAAAGAGTTTTGGTTTTATCAAATATTTATGAAATTTGTAGTGCTGAACATAGTTAAAATTATATTTGAATTTTGCGCAATTGTTCGATTTCGCTCGAGCGCACCGATTGTTTCCCTAGATGGACGCTGCCCAGTGCTGCCAGTACGAGTAGGTTAGGTTGCGTTGCGATTAGTAGCACCTCGCGATATTGTTGACATGTGCACAATTGCACATGATGGCCCAATGCATAGAGTAACTGAACGTGGAGACATTCGTGTCCAATATGAGGGCTGCTCGAATCGGTGGACATTTCATCCTGCAGCCTTGGTTCGAGTGGATGGAACAGCAGGTACATCATCAACTATATACATATAATTAAATACCTAAACACTTTTTCATTATCTATTACGAATCTGTTATCTAGCTGTCCCAATAAATGGTGTCAACGATGGTGCATCAACATCAACTCGTCCCCATCAACATCAACAGCCTACAGGAAGGCAGACGTTCAACATCGGAGACAAAGTCAGGGTCATCTGTGATGCCCAAGCCGTCGGAACTTTGCAAAGAGGTTATGGGGAATGGGTCGAAGATATGTTGCAGGTAATTATTGATATGATATAAATAATTTATATTTTCTTTCATTATAATTTTTTTCTCAGGCTTTGGGTGAAACAGGTGTAGTAACAAAAGTGTACAGCGACGGCGATTTGCGCATCGAGATTGAAAAGAAAACTTGGACTTTGAATCCACAATGTGTAACTTCACTAAATCTGCCTTTAAATACATCAACATCACCTCAAAGATTAGCCACGATGAACCCAGAATGATGTAACAGCATGGCTGATTTGAGCCATCACAGGAACGAACCAGTTTGTAAGCGAAAACAATTGTTTAACATTATTTGTATTTATAATTAATTTGTACTTAACGTTGTGCGTCTTTTACAGTGACGCCTTTTCCAATTATGGCCAGCAGTACAGATTTTGATAAATTGGTTCGAGAAGCTGCACAAGGCAATATGGATTATGTTCAGAAATACATAGAACAGCATCCTAATCAGGTAATAATAGATTTTTACATGGTTTATTAATGTATATTAACGATTGTTTTCTTTTTTTAAGGTGGATGCGAGAAGTGGTGGCAAATCTTGTTTGCAAGTAGCAGCCCATCAGGGTCATTTAAATTTGGTAAAATATCTATTAGATAAAGGTGCCGATGTGAACCAGACTGATAATGATGAGGATTCAACTTTGCATTATGCTGCTTTCGATGCCCTTACAGTCGGATGCACCATGTATGAGGGTTTGTTGTGATCACCAGAAACTGGCGATAACTATAGAAATTTTCATGATGTGATTATAACTATATACACAATAACATACATAAAAATGATATAAAAAAATGAACAAAATCGAAGATGTTTCAAAGGACAATCCTCTATTGACTCATCTATTTAATCAGTATTATTATTATTGGCTTTTAACCTAAGTTCAAATGGCATTTGTGTAAAATCTCGACTATCCATTATCATTTGCCTTCATAACGATTCAATATATTCATCATAGGCCTCCTCACATCATATTTTTTTACCAAGGCTTTCCACTGCTCCATGTCGATCCTCATAATGACTTGCTGTTCATCACCCGAGTGTTGTTCATCATCCGAGTGCTGTTCATCAGTCCGAGACTTTTTCAAAGGCCTCAACCACAAGTCTTCATTTTCTTCAAAGAGCTCCACATCTCTATCTCGAACTAGAAATGACACTTGGTAAATATTGTCAACGGTTTTTCCAAAGTCTTCAGGATCTAGAACGATTTGGAAGTATTTTATAGGTTTCATTCTGTTTTCTTTGAAATGTCTCATAATTTGGCTCTTTACTTTTGCCAAAATCGTTGCGGTTTCCTCCGTCTGTTCGGCCTTATCGATTCTATCAGGACAAGTAGATTCGATTTCGACGGGATCCTTTTGGGTCCTCTGCCGTTTCTATCTTAATTTTATTACTGGTGTTTCAGGATTGAAAGTAGCAAACATACTGTGGCTCATTGGGGGACTTTTTGAACCCAACATGCAGAGACCGAAAAACACTAGCCATTGTTTACTCGAGGCGTTTACAATTGGTTTTAAACGGTTTGCTAAGTTTTTGTCATCGTAATTGTTGATTTTTGTTTGGAGATTTTGGTTTACCCATTACAAGCTATGGTTGACGAGCATGTAATCGGAAACCAAATCGCATGCCTCCAGACAACATCCAGTAACTACGACTACAAAAAATTTGCAAACGGTTTAAATCGATTTGTACACGCCTCGAGTAAGCAAAGGCTTGAGTTATTCGATCCCTCCATGTTGGGTTTAAAAAGTCCCCCGATTAGCCACAGTATGTTCGGCACTTTCAATCCTGAAAAACCAGTAATAAAAGTAAGGCAGAAACGACAGAGGACACAAAAGAATCATGTTGAAATCGAATCTACTTGTCCTGAAAGCATCGATAAGGCCGAACAGACCGAGAAAACCGCAAAGATTTTGGAAAAAGTAAAAAGCCAAATCATGAGACACTTCAAAGACAACAGAACGAAACCTATAAAATACTTCCAAATCGTTCTAGATCCTGAAGATTTTGGGAAAACCATTGACAATATTTTTCAAGTGTCATTTCTGGTTCGAGGTAGAACTATGGAGATCTTTAAAGAAAATGAAGATTTGTGGTTGAGGCCCGTGAAAAAGTCCGAGACCGATGAACAGAACTTGGGCGATGGACAGCAAGTCATTATGAGCATGGATAGTCGAGATTTTACACAAGTGCCATTTGTTAAATTAAAATTAAAAAATGTAACTTTTAAGGACACCTGGGTATGTCAGCAATACTTGCTGATAAATGGTGATATTTAAAATTACGTTCCCTACATCGCCAAACATCACGTGCATTTTTATTTGTGAGAAAAATTGTGAAATTTCTGTTAAAAAGATAGATACTCGTGATATCTTACTAGACCCGTCCCTCAGCCACGTGATATTTCGTGATTTTTTGTCAAAACCCTCCCTCCCCAAACGACCTTTGAAGTCATTCTGGATCGAATGAGATCAATTTTGGAATATTATGCTTGTGTGTGTGTGTGTGTGAGCTGATTTTTGGCCTTTTCTCGTAAACGGCTAGACCGATTTTAAAAATGTAACTATTATATTAAATATATATTAAATATAAATTAAAAAAGATTATATATATATATATATATATATATATATATATATATTTACCTTTATATATCTTTATATATAACTTCTTTAACATATATATTTATATCAAATGTTGTCAAATAGATTATTATAAATATTGTAACTTTGTCTAATATTTATAAGAATTATATAATATATATATATTGGAACTTCAGCCAGAATTAAAATAAAAATCTTTATTATTTTCAATATAAAGAAATACATGATTTTTTTTCCAAAGGCATTTGTTTTGTCAACACAAGCAGAAAGTTTCCGAATCATTCAATTCGGATGCTTATTTCTCTCAAACTGCCATTTTTTTGTGCATTTAGCTTGGTATCTCCAAAACGGCTAAACCTGCCTTTTGAACAAATTGAATGTTTTTTAAATCATTCAAATCAGATCCTCCGATCTTTCAAAAACTTGATTTTTAATTTTCTCTTTGCTCCGAATCTCCGAAACAACTGGACTTGCCTTTACCAAAAACTTATCAGCACATCTCCCTATTAATAGGAATCGAATGTTTTTTGAACCGTTGATCCGTGCGCCCGAAAAATTGTATCCATACACACATCCATTTTTTCTGAGGTATGCCAAAATGTTCAGAAACCTTCGAAACGTGAAGATATGCAAAAATTTCCTATTTCGCTTTTTGGACGATTACAACAACCTACGAATATTTTCAATAACATATTTGTACGATTTCAATTGTCAAATATCTTTGCCGTAATATTTTTAGTCATTTAAGAAAATTAATGAGATTTTTTCCAATCTTAACGTTTGAGAGGTTTCTGAACATTTTGGCATACTTTAGAAAAAAATAATGTTGCGTTTCGGAATGTGTGTGAATGAATGGTGAAATTCAGTTTCAGTGCATGTACATCATTATTCTTTGCGGCAAGAATATATATATATATATATATATATATATATATATATATATATATATACAGGGCCGTGCCTGGCCAGCGTGCAGTGCTCTTAAAACCTTTACTCTTTGTTGTGCATAGTTCTCGAATCAAGAAAAGGTTTTCTCGAGTAATGTTGACAAACTACATCGAGGAAGAAAATAGCAAAGAGTATAATTACCAGAAGAATTTTATTACTGTTTAAAATTTGTCTTGTTAAAATATTAATGTGGAAATGATGCATACTTTTATCCATTTATTTTAAAACCACTGCATGATCTAACTAAAAAAAATTAAAACTGAAGAAGTTCAACAAAACAATATTTATTTATAATATATTATCATAACAACCAAGTTAAAATAAAGTTTAAAATTTGTTTTCTTTTAGCTCATAATTCTGTACCATTCCTTGCAAGTCTAGCAGCCATTTCATTTCCAATTACATCACTTATGTCTTCCACATATGTCTAAAATATTTTTGTGAATGTATCAAATAATTTAGCAAATCAATTAGAAAATACGTACCCATTTTATATTCATGTTTACAATTTCTTGATCAAGTTCTTTTAAATAACGTTCATTTTCCATTAGAATACCCTTACTAAACGTAGAGGCTTCTCTTTTCCAGCGATCGTTTCCCAACAGGTAAATGCATTTACAAGAAGTTGACACAGTGTGTAAATGCATGCCTTATATTCACCTAAAGGCACAAAATATAAACAAAATAGTGCCGGATAAAAAGAATATTTATATAGATTTTAAACCACCATGACGCTTAATATTCGAACTGCTTTGGTGGTTGCTCGGATTTCAGCACACATGTTTGTTGTTCCATTACAAGGCTCCAGACATTCCTTTTGAGGAAAAAAGAAATTAGTAACAACTTTTGATAGTTCTATATATTTATACATACAGATGATGTTCTTCTCCAAAGAATACAATAATTCTCCCTTAGTATTTGGTTCACCATCATTGTCACATTTACCACGAGTGTAAACCTTTGATTATAAAATAATGAATTGAATCAGTTGTACTATATAAATAGATATAACTGATTATAAATTACCTCAACAAATCCATTTCTGTCATATTTAAAAGATATATTAGGTCTTCCTGATATGTTCGATGTGGAAGGCAATTCATTTTCCTGGATGATGGATGCTTTACGCTTTCTGGGAACATTTATTGATTTTGGTTGTATCGCCGCTCCTTCGGAAGGCCCCATTCCTTGCTGAAAAGCCATTCGAATTTAAGTGTGGACTGTATTGTTGAAATGGTAATGACATACCATATTATTATCTTGGGCCGGTTTTGAGCCACCATTGTTTTCAACATATTGCATTGCTTCATATTTAGAATGAAACATTTTAAACTTGACGCCTTCAAATTTACTACTTGCTTCAAACATTCATCCCTATATAAATGAATATAAATGATGTAAACTATTAAATAACATGTGACACTATCACAGGTTAATGCATTTTTTACATACCATGACTCATAGACTCCTGGCTTAAATCCTTTAGCAACTGCATAAAATGGCATGTTGACTGGATGATTGAATATTCAAGATTTTCGAATGAATATATGAATAATGAAGAAAAGACTGGTGGCCCGGTTGCCTTCAAATAAACCGTTTATGGCTTACTTGTCTATGGTAAACATATTGCCATATGACGTTCTATCGAATCTGAACTTGTTCAAATTGAAGTTCGCTTCAGGTTTAAAAACCGTTGATAATTCAATTGTCCAATATTTATTAAAATTATTTAAATAATATTCAAATTTAATTAACATAATTTTTTCATATTAAAAGTTTTAATCGTAAATTCAGTGTTGACGTTGCAAAGACATTATATTACGAATCGAGACGTTTTTGAAAGTTGCTTTATACATATACATATATAAAAAAAGCACAAACAAAAGGAATGATACGTCTTCGATATGTGAAAGCTATAAAATATTTAAAAATAATGTTTTAAAAATCATGGAATCTAAGTAACAGTTTTTCTTATTTGTCCACACATATAATTCAAAAGCAACATCAATGAAAAAAGAGTGCTCGTAAGGTTCGCAGGCGTTTGAAGTAAATTGTTTTGTTCTCGTACGAGATGGCATTTGAGTTAAAAATAAATACATCATATAACAATTTATCCGCATACACACATACATCCATTTTTCTAAGGTTTGCCAAAATGTTCAGAAACCTTCGAAACGTGAAGGTATGCAAAAATTTTCTATTTCGATTTTGGACGATTACAATAATAACTTACCCTACGAATATTTTCAATAACCGTCAAATATCTTTGCCGTAATATCTTTAGTCATGTAGGAAAAGTTAATGAGATTTTGGGCCAATCTTAACGTTTCAGAGGTTTCTGAACATTTTGGCAT